ATGTTTGCTTAAGGAAAAATAGTGGGGAGGACATTCCTAGTTTGTATTATTTCTTTTTTCTGTCAGAAATATTTTGCATAAACACTCACAGTATAAATCCAAGTCCTTGGGTACTGGAGCTAACTAAATAATGTGCCAAATGGCATAGGCTGTAAAAATATTTCCACTTTTTAAATATTTCTCTTTGGATTATTCCTCCAGAGCAGTGTTTCTGCAGAGGCAGTTGGATGGGTGCTGTACCCAGCTTTCCTCAGCTCCTGCAAGTACTTTCCAACAATGTCAGAACTGAGTGAGAGAAAACGGGGCACAGAATGTTTTTAAACATGAACAGATCAGGTCACTTGACTAATTAGGAGGGAGAAGGGCAGAATAAAAGGCGACTGAACCTGAGAAAGGGCTAAAAAAAATTAGTTGTTTGGCACAGTAACTCCTGTTCCATTTATAAATTGAATCCCTCTGTCCCTCCTTCATTTACAATTGCCACTGGAAGTCAGGGTTTGATGTATGTTCCCACCTCCTGGAGGCAGTGAGGTTGTTTGGAGGGAAAAAAGGACCTTTTGGAAAACTACAGAATCCAACCATTAATTTTTGCTCTGTTTGCTGAAGCAATCTCTGCATCCACAAACCAATTAAGCACCTCTGGGCCCAGTGGAAGGGACTAATAATCAATAACAGGAAACATTCCCGGGAGTCAGGAGCTGAAATTGAAGTCAGTTCAGGAACCAGCAGCACATTCCTGGATGGATGAACTCTGGAGTGGGAGCTATAAAGGAGAGAAGTTACTGGAGAAATGAGAACTGCCTAAGGCAGGACAAGGTGAATGGATCCAAGCAGGTCACTGAGATTTGGATTTTTGGTTTGGTTTTTTGAGAATTTTTGCTTTTTATTACTTGTATTTCCTAATGTAGACCTCTGGCATGGTTTCCTCCATCTCCTTTTCCCTGGCTTCTCTCAGAGCTCCCAGCTATACCTTTATGTCATGTTCCAAAGGTGGTGAGCAATTCACTGTTCCTGCTGGATCATGGAGAGCTGATACAGGTCTGATCAGGAAATGCATAAACAGGCATTAAATGCCAAAAAATCCTGGTGACAGAGAAAAGGTTTTGGGGACACCATAAAGCCTCCCTTGGGGCCTCCAAGAGAGTGGAGAGAGACTTGGAACAAGGGCCTGGATGGGGAGGAGAAAGGGGAAATGGCTTCAAGATGAAAGTGGGTGGATTTAGATGAGATATTGGGAAGGAATTGTTCCCTGTGAGGGTGTCAGCCCCTGGCACAGGTGCCCAGAGCAGCTGGGGCTGTCCCTGGATGGAGCACCTGGGACAGGGGAAGGTGTCCCTGCCATGGCAGGGGTGGGAATTGATGGAATTTAAGGTCCCTTCCAATCAAAATGATTCTGATTTTGCTCTGGGGTAGGTCTCTAAAGAGTAAGAGGACAGTCCCTGCCTCAGAGGGTCAAACTACAGCAGAAGAGACAAGAGAAATTTCTGGATGCCTTTGGAGGCATCCCCATCCCTCTTTCCCCAGAGCTCACACAAAAACCTCCTCTGCCCAGGCTGTTGTTTTTGTTCTTTAGTGGATTTTTATGCCCTTTTTTCTTCCACATTTCCTGAAGTGACTTTCTTCTGTAATCATATTCCTTCTATTCCAATCACATCATAGAAAATGTTAATTTCCTGCTTTTAATTGGGTTGATAAAGTCTTTTGTCTCACAAATCTTTCCCAATACATTTGGATTAGTTTTTTTGTCTTACATGGCAGCAGAGTCCATTGTGTTGTGTTCCAGGCTCTGAACTTCTCCCTTTTTCAAAGTTTAACTTCTGTGGCTCTTCCTGACATGGATAATAAATTCTTTTGTTCATTGAAACTGAATTGCAAGAGGAGCACTTCTTTTTATTCACACACAACTGGGAGCCAATCTTGGTTATTAATTACAGCGAGATAAGAGCTGGAGCTGCAAGGGATGCTCTCCAGCTGAGAGTTTTGATTATTTATCCTTTGGCCAAGTGATGTCCAAGTCCACCTTTTATCCTTGAGAGTGTTCAGCAGCCAATTCCTTTCTTCTTAAGTACAGAACTGTTGTTTTTGGGTTAATTCTACTTATTCTGAAGAGCCACTTCTTGCTTTATTTTCTGTTTTATCCAACTTTTGACAGTGAAGTTACTGAAAATTGTCAGGACCTGCTTTGGAGGAGGAGGATTTAACTAACAGCTGGAATGATAAAATATTTCAGCTTCCTCTTTCAATTTTTATTTGGGTATAAACCTGAACCGTTTTTATATTCATGAGTTGCAGCAACTTCCCAGGTGATAACAAAGCATTGCCCAGGTTACAGCCAAGAATTCATCCAGCATGATTTTTTACTGTGGAAATTCTCTCTTCAGAGTAGTGATCTTGCAACTTGCTACTTCTTCTTGCCAGTATTCGAATAAATGTGTTTTTAAAATTAACTTCATTAGATAAAACACATCTTAATTTTGCTCTTGGCACTGGAGGTGCTGAAATACCCTGCAAAGTGCTGTGAGGCTTGCCATGACATTTGATTTGCAAATGAAGATAGACTGTAATAACAATTGTAGTAGTGGGAGTAGGGGTAGTAGTAGTAGTAGAAGTAATTATAATAATGATGATGATGATGATGATGGCATTCTGTTGACTGTCACTGGGATTTCTCCACTGACCTATGTAGGAAGTGTTTTATCCAGTTACAGAAAGATTGATAAAATCAAAAATAAATTGGGATTTCATTAATTCAAAAATCAACATTAAGTCTCTCCATCTCTTCTTTGGGATGTTCTTTTATGGAAAATGGGAGGAATTTCCTGGCTTCCTAACAGGAGTTGTTTAATTTCAGCTCAGTTGAATACATGCTCTGTGCTCTGCTCTTTTTCCAGTGGCAAATACATCAGAATTTGTATTATTTCCTGTTTGTTGGTATCCCCTGGAATTAATGTAAGGGAAAAATGAGAGTTAGAATTTAAAGAAAAATAATGGTATATGAAGTAATGAGATTGTGCCGAGGCTTAATTAGATGGAGCAGGTTGAATTCATTCCAGTGATGTCTCAAGGCAGCATCATTAAGCTGGAGGCAAATCCTGCCTGAGTTGGAACCAGTTTTATGTCCATGAGGAAGCAGCCTGGGCTGGCCCCTGCACCACGTCCAGTTGTGAATTTTGGGGGAAGATTCACAGATCTCCTTGTTATTATCAGCTTTCAGAAGCACAGAGCAGGGCTAAGGAGAGGCTAAAAGTGGTGAGTGTCTGATCACAGAGATCACCTCATTTTCAGTCTCAGTTTGTGCTGCAGCTCTGTAATTGAATCTCAGATCTCAAATCCAGAGATTCTAGAGCAGTGCAGGGTGTTCATTTGGGTGCTGGATTCAGCTCATTTATAAAATCTCTTAATGAAGTGCTTGCCCAAAACCCTGACAAAGACACTGACAATGAGCTGAAGTGCTGAAATTCCTCCTTGGCTGTGCTGGGTGCAAATCCGGAGATAACTTCATCATCTTCATTATAAAGAATAATACTATAAAACACACCTGTGTATATGTATGTACTTGATTTTTATGTGTATTTGCTTATATCTTTAAAATATTTTCAGATTTTAATTATTTTTCTATTTCCCTCTCTAAATTTAATTTTAATTTTCCCATTTAGATCCTTTCTTTCTCCTCCCTAATTCTGCCATGGGGATGAACTGACCTTCTATGACAGATATAGCCCAAATTTTTCCCTTTATTGATTTATTTTGATATATAAATAAATAAACTCTTTTAGCATCCTGATGAATTTATGTACATATTGATATATTTTGAATGTTTGTACATATTGATATATGTATATAAATATATCAATATGTTCATAAATAATTGCTTGGCAACATATTGCCCTTATATAAATATTTATAAATAATGTCTATTTCCATCATGTTGGGTAATCTGGAGGCTTCTTTTCTCTAGGATAGCAAACTTTCAGCTAAATATTAATTTTTCTTTTCAGGAGAAATTACTAAGTATCTTAAATTCAGTACAAACCCTTTCTAGCTGGTTTGTTTAAAATAATTCTGCCTTTTTGGGGTTTTTTTGCCAGCCTGAAGGAGAATCACATTTTTTTTATTTGCAGTAGTGAACTTTCTTTTTCAAGATTGGTTTTGGGATGGGGGAAAAAAACAAACCCAGAACGTGTCAGGAGGGGTTTTCATCATTTTTGGGGACTCTGAGGAGACACAAATCTCTCCCCCAGGCTGCTCCAAAGAGCAGCTCGTCTGTCTGGGCATTAGCTGGCAGCTGCACAGCATAAATTCGAAGTTTGCAGGGGGAATCTCATGTTTGTTTTGAAAATGGAGATCAGGCTACCAAGGAATAATCAGTTTATTTTGCAGCACCATGAATATGTAGTGCCCTACTTCTCCTGTGCCGTTTGGTTTCTCTTTCAAGGCTGTCAGGCCAAGCCCTTTTGCAATTTAAGAGGTGTTTTAGAACCTCCATAAACTACAGTGGGTACTGAATTAGCATTTGGGAACTAGAGCAGTGAACATTGTTTTAAAGACTGTCCTTCACCAGCATTTCTGTTGTGCCATAAGTGAAGTTTTTTCTTGCCTCATGTGTTTAAAAACGTGTTTTTCTTGGCCTTAAAGTTAAAATACAACCAGTTGCAGGTCTGGCTTAGACACAACACTGTAACTTTAAAAATGTATGTCTATATAGTGCTAATAAACTGAATTTTTAATGATCTCTTGATTATGAAAAGATATTTTAAAGACAAGTGATTTTATCCCAAACACTCCCTCTGTTTCTGCGTATGCTAATTTACTTGATTAATTTGGAGAACATCTGCATAGAATTCTGTACACTTACCAGTGGTGAGATCACACTGCTTTTCAAGTATCAGCCTCAAATTTCACTTTCCAGACAGACTCAGATTTTGTGTCTAATTGGGATGCCAAATATACAAAGGTACCCCAGAAGTGTGTAATTATGTAATTTTCTCTTGATCTTTCAGAGTCTTCCTGCGAGCAATTAATCAGTATGCAGATATGCTAAACAAAAAATTCCTTGATCAAGCTAACTTTGAGCTACAGGTAAGAAAAAACTCCCAGTTTTAGTGGAATAAATGACATGAATGCAATCAATTTCTTCCCTGTGTAGTTTTGGTGGGTTTATTCATGGCTCATTCATGGTTGTTAACCCCAGTTATCCCAGTTAAATCATTCCAGGCTCAGCAGGTTTTGTGATCCATTCCTGACTTGTGGGTCTTGTCACAGAATCACAGAATCACAGCAGGGTTTGGGTTGGGATTCTGCCTGAATCATCAAACACAAAGAATTGGGATTTGTAGCTGGGAAGTATTTGTTGGAAACATAAAGGCAACGAGGAGCTGTATTAAGAATTTATCAAGAAACACCATCTCTGTGGTGTCTGTTCTTCTCTCCTTTAAATATTTATGTGTATAATTCAGAGACTTTTAAGTTGTTTTGTAGGTGTGCAGAGAAACATTTCAGAGAATTTATGGAATCTCTTCTTGTCATTTTGGGGGCTTTCAGCTCTGGAACAACTATTTCCACCTGGCTGTTGCTTTTCTCACGCAAGAATCTTTGCAACTGGAGAATTTTTCAAGTGCTAAAAGAGCAAAAATCCTTAACAAGTAAGTCCTGCTCGTCATCTAAATCATGGCCTAGAACTCGAGGTCTACTGCCATCATTTCACTTTAATTTCTTTGCTAAATCTATTCAAATTGAGATGCAATCAGGAGATAATGAAAGGTTGGGTTGAAAAACATGAATCAAGTGTTGTGTGTGTTTCTGCCCTGGCATGGAGATCTGAATTTCACATTCATTAGGGATGAATTCAGTGTTTGCTGCTGCAGGCTGCTCAGAAAGTCAAGATTTTCATGTTAACATGTTGTAAAACTGCATTTTGAAAGCACTTCAGCTCTGTACTTCTTCTAATCTCATTTTATGTCTGCTCTTTGTTGTTCATCCCTTTGCTGAGAGGGAATTTTGGTGGCTCCAGCCTTTTGCACTGGGCTGTCCCTGAAGGATGGGTTGGGAGAGGTGCAGCCATTCCCTCCCTCTGTGGGATCACATTCCCTGCCTCCAGCCACCCCGCTGCCAGTCAGAATCCCACAGCCAAGGAAAGCTGTCAAAAGTGGGAGAAAACCTGGAAATGAGAGTGGAGCATGAAGATCCTGTTTAAACAAAAGTGATTCTGGGTGGAAAGGACCTCTAAGATCATGGAGTCAGGGCCACCTCTGTCCCAAGTGCCTCATCTTTGCAGCTTTTAAATCCCTCCAGGGATGGGAAACTCTACCTGAACAGCCAAGTCCAATGTCTGACCACCCTCTGAGTGAGGAATTTTTCCCAACTTTCCATTTAACCACCCCTGGCACAACTTGAGGTCGTTTTCCCCTTGTGCTGTTGGTATTTCTCCTGTTTTTTATTGGGGCTCCACAGTAGTGACCTTATTGTTACTTAACTGAACACCAAGCTCTGAAAAGAGCCAGTGTTGTGATTTCAGGTACAGTGTGTGGATTCTTTTTCTGTTTGGGAAGAGCAGCTGGAAAAGCCAGGTGTTCCCAAAACCAGTGAGGTCACAAAAATGGGGAATTTCCAAGTTGTGATTCCCTGAGCAAGCACAAATAAAATGTGTCTATGTAGAGAAAGAAAATGCATTTTGTATCCCTTCACATTCCCAATCCAGGCATTTCAGTCTGTTATTATGATAAAAGAAATCCCAGGGGGAGCAGGGACAGTTCATCACTGCTGCAGTGACTTGGTTTTAAAGGTTTTTTGCTTGTGTGGCTTTTGGGTTTTGACCAGAAAATTCAGGAGGGGCTCCACGTTCCATCCCTTTTTATGGGAGCCAAGTTTTGCCCTGCAAACTCCACCTGAGTTTTGAGGCGTTTCCTTTGGAAGCTGTGCTCTACCTGAGCCTTGAAAGAGAATTTTAAAGCACTTTAGGATCTGCTCTACCTGGGACTCGTGGGGCTTCCTTGATGAAACAGGAATATTTACAAGTTCAGTGGAAAAGTGGTGTCAAGCAGAGCTCAGGGTTTGGGGCTTGTGCTATAAATACCATAAATAACATTATGGATAAAGGTTTCTTAAGGAAAATGAGCTGGTGTTGCAGAGCCAGGTGTATTTTATTTATGAAAATTGAGTTGGTTTTGTAAAGGCAGGTGTATTTTATTTAGGAAATTGAGATGGTGTTGCAGGTAAATTTTATTTAATTAAATTTAGAATCCCTTTGCTCTCTCTGCCCAGTGTTAATGAGCACCTACGAGTGCATTTTAGTTCAGCTCAGACTCCTGACCTGAAAAAAGCCAAAAGCTGAGCTGGAAATTACTGTCAAATACGTTTGTGGACTGATAATTCCTGCTTGTCAGGATGGCAACCACAGGCACACATTTTCTTGGAGTGATTTTTATAATAAACAGAGCAGTTTATCTCACTGAAGGAATTCAAGGAATCAACAGGCATTTCTCACTGCTAATATAACTAAATAGATGAAGTAATTTGAAGTGGTTGCTTAATAAAGTTTGCAAAATTGTAAATCTTTCTTTATAATGAATTTGCAAATTGTTATTTTCAGTTTAATCAGGTTTTGGAGGCAGGAATCAAGACAATACATTTGAGATTCAATAAATGCATGGTCTGGAGGCAATTCCATTGCTGTGTGAAGGAACCTCTGTGTCAAAAGGGATATAATTAATCAGTTAATTCAATATCACACTCACCCATCTTTTTAAGTACATATTTCAATTAAAACATCAAATATTTAATAATTAAAATTTAATTATTGTAATTTGTAGGTTTTGCTAAACATTGCATTTAAGCATTAGATAATAGCAGATTCTTAATGACGCAGAAGATTCTCTTTAATCCATATTAATCACTGGGTGTCTCACTGTTATCCCCCAGAAATCCTACAAGTTGCCAGATATTACAGTTTGGCTCATCCTGATACTTAAGTAATGATCTTTAATTTGCAAATATTCCATGTTCAAACGCATCCTTGGGGATCATCAGGGTTCTGATCCCATTTTTAATGAAGGCACTGGGATGATTCCCCCTCATTAAAGCTTTCCTGTGAGAGGAGGGGAGTGGAAAACGACCCTGATGGGACGTGGGAGGTGTTGGTGCCACCAGCTTTAGGGTGGGTGGGCTCCCAGCTCTGCCTGGGACCATGGAATGTTGGAATTGTTGAGCCTGGAAACCCTTTTTCCCCAAATTTTAGTGCTGACAGAAGCATTGCTGAGCTGATGGGGGTAGCCAATCTCAGTAGTGTAAGACCAATTTGAGAACCTGTTCTGGAGCCTCTTCCCTTTTTGAAGGCTGATTTGCAAATGAGATTTATCTGCTTGTAGGTCTTAGGTTTATTTTGTTTTAATGTTGGTTTTGTTTCCCTTTTCAAGGTACGGGGACATGAGAAGGCAGATTGGGTTTGAGATCAGGGACATGTGGTACAACCTGGGTAAGTATCCTAAGCATGTGTCCTTCAGTGTTCCCAAGAAACAATTTTAGAGGGATATTCCTGGAAAAATTCAATGCCAGGTTGGATGGGACTTGGAGGAATCACTCTATGGAAAGTGCCCATGGAATGAGATGGTTCTTTGATGTCCCTTTCAACCATTCCATGATTCTCAAAATGAATTTACTTCCTCTTGAAACAAAAGTATGCCTGCAGAGAGCTTTTAAAAATCAGGTGATTTAAGAAATCAAGTCACCTCTGCACATTTAATTCACAATCTGGGAAGGTACATCATGCATTTTAATATTTATGTGTCTCATGTTTTTTATGAGTTTCAGCTTCTTCTGAACACAAAGCCATTGTTATGGTGATACCCATTCAATGGGGCCTTTTTCCCCTTAAAAGTATCTATATACACATGTATTTATATTTACTCACTTGAGGACACAGTACCTGGAGCTGTAGCAAAATGGATGTGTCCAATGTTCTCAGTACCTCAGCCTGGAAGTTCTGCTTAAACTCTGCTTTTCAGCCTTGTCTGGCAGCATCAGTGACTGAGGAAAGCCTGGGGAGTTGGAGCTCCCTGGAGCCCATAGGTAAATGAGGCAGCTCTGCCTCTCTCCAGCCTGGGCTGCTCCCTGGGTATAATTTGCCTGTACAGAGATTGAATTTCATGAGAAACTGAGTATTTACTGTGACCTCAGTGTACTCGTCTGCCAGATTTCATTATCCTGAGCTTAACAGCACAGACACTTCAGCTCTTCTGAGTTTTATCAAAACTTCCTTAAATGATCAGAAATAAAGCGTTTGCCACTTCACTTCTATCTCTGCCTGAGCTGTTGTTGCTGGGAGTTGAAAAACCCCAGCATTTCTAAGAGAAGAGAGTGCCAAGGGTTCATAAGTATTTGATATCACAGAATTTGCATCCTATCTACTGGAATGATGAGAAAAGGCTTCAGAGAGCAGCTGAGTTCACTTTTTATTAGAAGCATCTTGGGTGAATTAAGTGTCTGGAGAACAGATTAGAGCTTAGGGCACGGCTGAGATGTGGCTTGACAGGCAGGTAATAAAATCAGTGTCGTGCCTGCTGCTGCATCAGCCAGCGTGGGCTGTGGCAGCCTCTGGGTGAGTAATTAGCCAAATCCATCTCTGTTCCAGGACCACAATTGTGGAGTCGTGGAATTGGTAAGGTTGGAAAGGTTGGTAATTGGTAAGGTTGGAAAGGTTGGTAATTGGTAAGGTTTGAGGGCACACCTCGAGTGCTGTGCCCAGCTCTGCCCCCTGAGTTTGGGAAGGACCTTGGGATGTGTCCAGAGGAGGCAGCAAGGCTGGAGAGGGGCTGGGAACACAAACCCTGTGAGGAACCCCTGAGGGAGCTGGGGATGCTCAGCCTGGAGAAAAGAAGCTCAGGGCTGTGGCAGATACATCCTTCCCTCTCTCAGGATTTTCATAGAGGAGCACAGAGAGAAATGAAAGAGAAAACAATTTCTGTTTCTGCTCCTTGTTTTTCCTATGTGGAATGTGTTTGGAGAATTGTTTCCCTGGGGTGATTTCTTGGTTGGATTCTGGTGAGGATTGTTTGAGCCTGATGGCCAATCCAACCCACCTGGGGCTGGGCTCAGAGAGGGTCACGAGTTGTGAGTTAGATATGGGAGTTAGAACAAGTAGGTATGGAGTTTAGTATCTCCTTTAAATAGTATATTAATATATTATAGTATAGGTATAGTAAAGAAATCATTCAGCCTTCTGAACTGGAGTCAGACATCAGCATTTCTTCCCACCAAGTTCACTGCATTTACAATACAGGGGTGACCCCACCACTCCCCACAGCTCCTGGAAGGTGGCTGTGCCCAGCTGGGGTTGGGCTCTTTCTCCAGGAACTGACAGAACCAGAGCACACAGCCTCAGCTGCACCAAGGGAAATACAGGTTGGATATTAAGAAAAAGTTTTTTACAGAAAGGGTGATAAAGTTCTGGAATGGCTGCCCAGGGAGGTTAAACCATCCCTGGATGTGTTTAACAAAGCCTGGATGTGGCACTGGGTGCCCGGGTGGAGTTGAGTGGTTGAGTTGGACTCGGTGATCTTGAGGGTCTCTTCCAACCTGGTCATCCTGGGAATTCTGTGAATTCTCTGAAAAGTCAAGTCCAGCCCAGCACTGCCAAGGCCACCCCTGCCCTGTGTCCCCAAGTGCCACCTCCACATGGATTTTAAATCCCTCCTGGGATGGGGACTCCAAACCTCCCTGGGCAGCTGTGCCAGGCCTGGCCAAACCTTTCCATGAAGGAATTTTCCCAAATATCCACCCTGAGCCCAGCCTGGGGCCGTTCCCTCTGCTCCTGTCCCTGTTCCTGGAGCAGAGCCCGACCCCCCGGCTGTCCCCTCCTGGCAGGAGCTGTGAGAGCCACAAGGTCCCCCTGATCCCCCTTTGCTCCAGGCTGAGCCCCTTCCCAGCTCCTTCATCCACCTTTTCTTCTCACTAATATTTCTGGCCTCTTTGGATTCTTAAACTTTTCCCAGAATTTAGTGGTCGGAACGTAGAAAGTTTGACACAGACTTTTCCATCCAGCTGGTGTTAACTGAGGTTGTTTTATCCAGGCTGGGCTTTGTGGAGTGCCTTGTGCCTTTCACTACTGCTGCTGTCACTGGCTGCTCTTTACAGGTTATTTAGTTGCTCCAGGGTTCAGTTTCTCACCATTAACAAGGATAATAATTTCCCCTGCAGTTTTGGGAATCGATTGGCACAAGGGGTAGTGTTTTCTTCAATATTTCTTTCTGTGCTGTCATGAAAGCCTTTTATTTTTAATGGATTTTTTATAAATGGAGATTATCCAGGTAAGATGCCTCTAACTCAAATATCTGTTATTCTCTAAGATCCATTAGTGGGATTATTAATGCCAAAATCCCACATGTGGAGGGAGTGAGGAAATTGCTGCTCTTCCCAAGAAAAGCTGGGAAAGGTAAATGTGAGGCAGGATCCCAGTCCAAGGCAGCTTTTGTGCTTCTCCTGAGCAGCACCTTGATTTTCCTCATCTTCTTTGTCACACAGAGAGTCCATGTTAAACTCGTGGATCATGTTTCATTCTGGCTCCTCACCAATCTCATCCCTGTCACAGCATCAATTAAGAAGGAATTCCAGCTCCTTGCTGCATGGGAATCGATTGGGGGGTGCCTGACAGTTTTATCTTGGAAGCTTCACTGCATTAATCAGATTATTCATGTGTATGTTCAGAAACCAAATCAGAAGTGAAAAGCTGGAATTCTGGAGTTCTTGAGCACAGGTTTTTTTATCTCTGTGCTATTGTGCATGAGATGTGATGAAATCAAACCAAGCCTGACTTTTTGATTTATGGATTAAAGGGTATAGAAAAGCCTCAAAAATGAATGTTTTGTCTTACCAGGTTTTGTTTCTAAATACCATGATTAACACATGATGCCTGCTGAGTTAAAATTTCCCAGCTGGGAGCAAGGCAGTCCTCCAGCTATAATGTGCATTTAAAAGTATATTTTTTTTTTCTGAAATTAAATAGCAAAATAAGAGTTCTTAAAGTTTTCAGTTGGCTTTCTGTTTCTGATGCAGGGGAGGCCTCAATAATCACACTTTCCTATTTTTAGGAGCAGGGAAAAAAAAAAGAACATTTATAGTGTAGAACAGCACTTCAGAGGCTTTTTTCCTTCCATACCACAACCTGAACTTTAAAATGTGTTACTTTGAGTCAGTGTTTTGTTGAAACTGGGGCTTCTTAAACCTTGCTGAGACATTAAAGCATCAAAACAGCATCAAACAGGCCGTGGCCTGTCTTGGAGATGCAGGAACTGGAAAACCACGCACTGGAATGGGTTTTGTGATGCAATGAGGTCCTGCCCAGGGGGCAGTGCTTGATCTGATGGTTGGTGCACCCACAGTTGTGTGGCGGAGGAATAATGTGACATTTCAGGTGACATCCTGGTGGGAAAGGTGGCCAGGGAAAGGCAGCTCGGAGGTGTTGGTGACGTCCAAGCCAGCTGGAGGGAGATGGAGAAGAGAAACTCCTCCAGGTGAAGGGGAATGAATGGTCACTGGTGTCACCAGCGAGTGCCACCGTCCCTTCCCAGCGCTTGACGTCACCAAAGGTGTCTTGACAGGGCCCTTGCTGTGCTGGGAGGGAAGGGCAGGGTTAAAAATAGCCCTGAACTTTGGGTGTTACATAAATAAAGTCATTGCACATAACCCTCTCTGGATTAGTCAGCCGCGTTCCCAGCCGGCCTGGGGCACAGGGGAGGCTGCTGGCAAATTACTCAGGTTTTTGTGGCCCAGACTGAAATGGGAAGAATTTGGAAAATGGGAATCACACTTTGTCCAGCAAGGAGAGCACCTTGGGCTTGGTTTGTGGTGAGGTCCCTTCCTGCTGCGTGAGCACGTCCCATGGCCAGGCACAAGGTGCTGCAAGGGGAAGGTTTTGCATGTTCAGAGGGGGCTTTTTTTGCATATGGTTCCTAAAGCAGCTGCGGGAGTTGGTTTTCAGAAGAGACTCCTCGATTTTCTCCCAGACTTGTCACTTTTGGAGTCTCTGCGTGGGAGTTCCCACATCCCTGTGGGGAAGAAAAAGGTGAATTCCTTGCTGGGTTGTTTATCAGACAGGGGGATGGATGCCCTGAGGGGCCAGGGAAGGGTTGTTTTCCTTCCTGCTTTGCTCCCAGTGCTTTCTTTGGTGGCCCAGCATCTCCCAGGATCACATTGTCACAGCAGTGTCGCCACCTATGGTGGGACAGACATCACCCAGGGCTCCTGCTTCAGGGGTTTCTCCCAGAGAGCTGCCAACAGATCATCCTCTCATCGAAGATTCTAATCTTGTGTGGATTTTTCACATCGCAAGTTCCAAAGATACTCCTCTTCTGAGGGAATTCCTGTGCTTGAGGCAATGGAAGATCCCTCTGTGGCACAGGGAGAACTCGCAGCTCAGGCGGCGCGTGATGAACAGCTTTGTCTCCGTTATTTGTTTTCTGCAGCGTGGGCTCTGACACTCCTCAGGCATAACACAAGAAATCTGTCACCTGAGAGGTCCAGTGTAATCATCCTTGTAGGAGACTGAGGGAAAAAGCTTTGGGCCTCTCACTTGATATTCCTGAGCAGCCCCAGCACCGCAGCAGCACCCAGAGTCACCATTTTCCTTGAGTATTAATTTACCCTGATCCGATTGCTAATGCTAATAGGATCCAGGAGTTTGCCAAATCAAGGGACTTAAATTATATCTGCTAAAAAAAGGAGCGTGTTTTGGTGGTAAAGGATTTTTCTTGATTACATTTGTTGAGATTTATGTTAGTTCTGGTCAAAGTGAAACTACCAGTTAAAGACTTCACTGGTTACTGTCACAGTGGTGTAGTGCAGTGGAATAAAAATGAATTGAAATCTGTTGCTGTCCTGTACCACTGGTTACTGCAGTGGGAATCAAGAGTTTGAGGGCTGGAGGAGACTGAGGACTGGAATCCAAAGAATCTGGTCTGAAGCGTGATATTGGGTATAGAAACAGTGTTTGAACCTGGCTGTAAACATCCCTAAGAGGGCATTTGTGAGGAACATCTCCAGGTCTGTCCTGAGCTCCCAGTGGATCCCAGCCTGTTGCTGATGGAGAAATGTTTTTTGTGTTTCCTAAACTTCTGCCTGGAGCTCTGAGGGCTGTGCTGCTCCAGCACCGTGGTACAGGAGGTGATGAAACACCAGCACAGGTGCCCAGAGCAGCTGTGGCTGCCCCTGGATCCCTGGCAGTGCCCAGGGCCAGCCTGGAGCCACCTGGGATAGTGGGAGGTGTCCTTGCATGGCAGGGGTGGGAATTGGATGAACTTTAATGTCACTCCCAACTCCAACCATCCTGATGATTTTTCCATGGACTTACCCACCAGATAATTCGCAGCACACACACTCTGCATCCATTTAGCCAATAATACAAACAGTAACCTGCTTTTTTTCCAATATTTATGAGGTGCCACACTCCTGCTAAGCTTTAATTTGCCTTCCCTGTATGGAGCAGAGCAGGGATTGGGGGAGGAGCAGCTTTCTCTTGGGAAGCTCAGTCTGCAGTCAGGTTTTGCAGGCAGCTCAGCTCTGAGGAAAGGAGACATATTGTGGGCTGGCTGAGCTGTGCTTTCATGTCTCGAGGCTCTGTTAGGCTGCACTCGTGGTGACACTTTGATAGACTGACACCGAGAACATTTTGTTCACACAGGAGTCTAAATAAGTTAATACAAGTGATGTGCCTTTTAGCCTTCCTCCCTGCCAGCCACACATTGTGTTCTAAAATAAAACCTGGAAATTTGGGTGTGAAAATATGGAGTGGGAAATGTGGCGAGTCTCAGCTTGACGACTGCTTCAACAACTCCTCTTGGTTTGCTGTTAGACAATGCCTCCTCTCCTGTGGTAATCATTATTATTAATTAAATAATAATAATTTAATGATAATAAAATTGTTATTAATAATAATTGTAATTGTGGTAATCATCATCATCAATAAATAAATAAAAATAATAAATATTTCAGTCGAGCCAGGTATTAAAACAGGCTTTGTTATGCGCCATAAGTATATTAATACAGCTTTTACATCTTCTACCAATGCCAAGGGTTGTTCACTCTGAAATGCATCTTTTCTCCTAAAGGTCAGCATAAAATCAAGTTCATCCCAGAAATGGTGGGGCCTATCCTGGAAATGACCCTGATCCCAGAAACGGAGCTGCGGAAGGCCACGATCCCCATCTTCTTTGACATGATGCAGTGTGAATTCCACTCCACCAGGAGCTTCCAGAGGGTAAGCAGAGAGCTGCAGGCATTTAAAGCAAGGAAAATTTGGCTGTTCTTTGACAAAACATAAGGAATTGTGTTATTTCTCATTTTTCTAAGGAATAATATAATTATGGATTTGCTTATTTCCTGAACTCCTGAGGGGCTGTGGAGTTTTCATCTGTGGGTTTGAAGTGGTTATTGAAGGAGAGATTTGCATGTAGCAAATGAAACCTTTGGTTATGGCACAGGAGCAAAGACAGATGTCTTAAATTGTCACCGTGACTCACACAAGGAGTTTGCTCCCGAGATAAATTGGACATAAAGGAAGCCTGATAATGTGGCAAAAGTATAACCTGAAAGGATTTATCATCTCTACTCTATTATAATTCTGATTTTCCTTACCATTTTATGGATTTTGAAGAGGGAAAAAAAGCAATCCAGCACTGTCTGTGCTGCTTCTTGCTCTACAGGCACTGCAAAATCTGAAATAGTAATGGAGCATTTTTATTCTATTTGATTTGGACTGCTGAGGGCAGCCCTTGAATACACACACACACCATCTTTTCCTGATAACTTCAACTTTTGAAAGACAAGTGGAGTGAAAGAAAGTTTCCTGATATCATTCATCTGACATTGCTTCCCTTGAAACTTTGCTCATGGATTGAGTTTAAGACTAGTTAGGCCAGGTAGGGTTTGGACTAAGCCAGTGGAGCTCCTTCCCACTGTGAGATTTCTGTCAGTTCAGGATATGCCCTTGTGAATTTTGCAATAAAACTTGACATGTGTTGTTTGCTTTTTTTCCCTTTCTATTGGCAGTTTTCTTTCTTAGATGAAAAACCTTATCCTTTCCCATACTTTTCTTGTGAGCTGCTATGGAGAAGCAGCTCTTAATAAATCTGTAGGCAGAGTAAATGAAAATCTGCGTGGAGAGACTTAAGCAAGGGAAATGGCATCAGCTTCATTGCTTTGATTTGTTTTGTGCTGGATGGTGTGTGGAGAGGTTGTGAACTGTGTTTTGGCTTCATCCAATTACTGCATAATCATTTTTTCTCATGTTTGACTCCAGTGCTACTGTAAAGATTGAAATGCTCACTGGGATGCCATTTAAACAGTTTCCTGTCAGATGCTCTCTTTTGTTGCTTGTCATTTTTTATTTGTACAATTATATAGATCATGAAAAATCCGAGGGTGACTTTATAGCTAAATTTATGGCCTTCAATTTTCCTGACAGAAGGAAACCAGCTTTGTGTGGTATAGTTGGCTGATTTTAATAAATGAATGTCTTAAATATTTCACTTAGGAAGGTTTTTTTTTGCCATTTAAGAAAAATTCCTAATCCTCAAGTCAGAGATGTCTGGGGTTGTACTTGACATAATATTTCCTGTGGCAGTGTAGCTTCTTTATGGATGTAGCATTGACAGGACAGGTGCAGAGGGAAAAAAAAAAAAACAAACCTTTTTCCATGTGTTTGGAGGAACCAGCCACATCCCACAAGGAATAATCAATCTGTCCACTGATCATGCAGTTCTGAGTTTGCTGAGTATCTCAGGCTGGCCTTTGGGGGATGAAGGTCACAGGCTTGGGATAAGCAGAGGGTTGAAGGAAAGTGTAGGCTGGATGAGACCTCTGGAATTAATCTGGGCATTAGGTTGGGTTACCTGGGACCACCTGAAGCCCAGTTTGGAGTATTTCCAGTGAGGTTTGTTTGAGCAATTCTCTGGATGAGCTATTCCAGTGTTTGATCCTGGCCTTTGGAAGGTGTCCTTGCCTGTGGCAGGGCATTGGAATGACACAAGCTCCCTTCCAACCCCAACCATTCCAGGATTCTGTGATTCAACCTTTCTGCTTTTTATTTCCTGATGGAATTTCCTGGGGTCAGCTTGTGCCCGTTTCTGCTTCCATCTCCTCTCTGAGCACCTTTTAGGTGTTGGAATGTTTGAGTTGGATTTTCTCTGGGCTGAGCAAACCCAATTCCTTCAACCACTGCAGGTCCTGCAGCACTCTGCCCATGTTGGTGACCCTCCTTTAGACCATCTCCAGCTTGTCAGGGCTCTCTCAGCTGGTGGATCAGAGCCAGACACGGAATTCCATCCCTGGTCCAACAAGTGCAGTGGTCCTGTTGCTGCTCTGGCCATGCTCTTGCTGATGCAATCCAGGACACATTTAGGCTCTGTTGAAGTGGGACACTTTTTTTCATGTTCAGCTTGGTAAATTGGTTTTTCCCAGTCACTTTCTTGCCCTTTGTGTACCTGGAAAAAATCTTTCATGAGCTCTTGCTCTGTGGTTTCCGCAGGAATTGAAGTGGGGCTGCATGGTCTGTAGATTCCTCACTCATTTTTTTGTCTCTTTTGTGTTGAGGTTATAGAAATAGATAATATTACCAGTACCTAGGCAAGCTTTGATGCTTAATGGGTCGATGTAATGTGCTGCTTTATATCCTTTATATGCAAGTACCAATTATCCTTGTCCAGCACTCTTCTAGAGAGAACTTCCAAATGGCATGGTTGGCTGCTGTTAAACTAATCTGCCAGAAATCCAATTATCTAACCTTATTAGTCACATCAACAAGGGTTTAGGTTGGCTCCACTTCTCCAGCAGATGTATCAACCTCATGATTTGTGGGGGAGGAATTACAGTTTTTTCCAGGCCCCCGATGCTGTGATGGTTTGTGTGATAAACAGGCAGCTTTCCCTGTGGTGGTTTTCATTTCAGGAGGATTTGGGTTTGCCTGGTAAAACCAGGAACAGACAGAAGAATTTTGGGGTTTTTTTTCCTTCTCCTAGTGTATTTAGAGACAGAACAAGTTAAATACCCCTTGTTTTTACAGAACTATATTAAGGCTGACTGAATTAAAAGCTGGAGTTGCCCATTTTGTCCTCTCCCTCTGGAGGTGCTTTGAAGCCTTTATAAAAATTCAAAGTAGCCTGCACCTCAAAGCAGGAATCCCATCCTAAAATCAGTGTGGGACTGAAGCTGCCCTGTGGAAGGAAACGCCTCCTTCTCCCCTTGGCTTCTCCCATGGCCAGTGTGAGGAGCAGAGCCTCCGGATCAAAGGGAATTTGTCAGAGCCACAGGAATGATGAAAGAGAATTGGTTTGATTGTTCAGGGCCTGCTCAGGTGAGTGGGATGGATCCAACAGAAGGAAAAGCTTCAGGTGAAACAACCCCTCAGCTGGAATGTGGAATTTGGAGCATGGAAAGCTCCTGGTGTCCGTGCCTCTTGCTCCCAGCTGTGACTTCATTCCTTATTTCCTACCAGCACTCTTGGCTTAAATTTTAACTCACCTTTTCCAGACCTGTGTCACTGCTGATACCACGTTCTGCTTGTTTGGAGTTGAGCCCATTTCTACCATTTAACAATAAATCTCAGTATCACCAAACAGCCACACCAGCATTTGATTTTTACGTGCTGGTTATTGGTGAATTTCAGATGGATTTAATTCCCCCTAGTCAGAAGTTACCCCTAGTTTATCAGAATCTCTCTTGGCTTTCAGAACCTACAATTCCTTATTAAGTTTTTTTTTTGCCCCTTCTGAGCCCTGCGTTAAGCTCCCTTTCCCCGTGCTGTGGATTTGCAGACAGGACACAATAAATAACTCTCCCAGTTCCTGTGATCCCACTAAACATTCAAATCCAAATAACTAATCCCCCCACAAAGGATTGGTTTCAATAAGGAACATTTTTAATTACCTACAGTTGAAATGTAAATGTGTAAGTTTTTCTTGGTTTCTGGCCTTTTGGAAGAGATCAGTAATCATCCCTCACTCTAGAGAAGAAAGGGAGAAAGGTAATGCAGGGGCCTCCAAGATGATCCCATCATTTTGAATGGCTCCAGATCTGTTTCCCAGCTGGAATGCCGTGGAAAAATAGGAAAGAGAATGGATGAAACCATTGGGAATAACCACCAACTTTCACAGAAACCCCTGAGCAAAGTTTTGCTGTACTTGGGTGCCATTTCTGCGTTAGGACTCATTTCTGGTGGTGTGATCTGTCACTTCAATTTTATATGGCAAATTATTATTAGCCCACATCAAAATGAATTTATAGCAGCTTGGAGGGCTGAAAGTCCTCCTCATCTACAGCAAAATTAACTTGTCAGCCAGTGCTACAAATTCAGCCTTCCTTGAGGTAAACCCAAGCCAAGAAGTGATCAGTTGAGTTGACATGAGATGGTTCACCCTGATTTATTTGCTCCAGGTGGGAGATTAAGGCAGAGGAAGCACTGGAGGTGCTCTTTGCTCAAGTTCAAACTCTCATCCTAAAGAGAGGCTGAGATCTTGATCAGCTGCGAGGAAAAGTGGATAAAAATGTCCTGTAATCTTCCTGTACCACCCCTGGAGCTTTCAGTGTCAACAGGAGGATGTGAGTGTGGCTCACTGATGGTGCAGATATTCCCCCCAGGCCTCAGCAAGTGGCACTGGCTCTAATGGAAACACTGGAGATTTGGCACTTCTTCATTTGAGACTAAATCCCATCACAATAATTGCAGGCTTATTTATGCATTAAATTAAATGTAATGCATTTATAAAAACTCAGTGCATTAGGGGAAAAAAAAAAAAGAGAGAAAAGTAAAAATGGAGTTTATCAACAGATGCCAGGTGCAGTGTCCCAGAGCCACTGGCTCGTGCAGCTCCAGGGTCACATTCCTGCTCCCATCATAGGGAATGAACCTCAGCTGGTATTGCTAAAATCTTCCTCCATGGAAAGGCCACAGAAGGAATTTTAACTGATGTTAAATAACATTTCTTCATTTGGCTCAGATGATCAGCATCACAGCGACTCCATGAGAAATATCAGGAATGACTGAAGAGCAAAGATATTGTTAATAATCCTTAAAACCCCCAAAATGCCACAAGTCTGGCTCTGTTCAGCCCAAGAGGCTGTTAGGGGAAATGGCCCAACAAAGCATGGATTTACAAGGATTTAAGTGAAACTGATAGTGGGAAGATCCTGGAGATCCTGCATGACAAATGTAATTGCTCTTCTCTCTCTGAGTAATCTCTTCCTAAAAAATACATCACCTGCAGGGCTGGGGCTGGCAGCAAGTGTCATTTTTCACATTGGCTTAGAAAGTCAATTTTATTCTGGGCTCATTAGGGAGCAGGATTTTTGTGACTTCTCTGTTTCATCATTGTGTTGTTTCAGTGTTTTACTCAACTCTCTGATACTGTGGGAGCATGTTTGGATCTGGGAGGGGATGGATTGCATTATCCTACCTTTTCTCACATTCCTGTCATTATTTTAATAATGGATTCATTGTATTCTCTGTGACCAGGGGCAGGACCTGAGGGGACAGCTGGAGCTGTGTCAGGGGAGGGTTTGGTTGGATCTCAGGAAAGGTTCTTCCCCAGAGGTGCTGGCACTGCCCAGGATCCCCAGGGAATGGGCATGGCCCCGAGGATGCCAGAGCTCCAGGAGGGTTTGGACAATGCTCTCAGTGGGATTTTTGGGGTGTCTGTGCAGGGCCAGGGCTGGACTCAAGTGATCCCAGAATATTTTATGATCCAGGTAATCTATTCTTTCCCCATGTGTCATTATGTGCTGTTAATATCACCTGCAGATGCAAAGAGCATCTCTTGACATTTATAAAATGTTGGTGGTACTCTTTGTTCTCGTGCTTCTCCTCACCATGCTTAGGGGTGGCTTAAGCAAGTGACAGTGAAAAAACCTGGTGACAACTGTTCTGTCACCCAGCTCCCACTGGGAGCACTGGGCTCCCACTCCCCTGCTGGGGCTCCCAGCCCTCCCACCCTCTCCTGCTGAGATCTCTGTCTTTAATCCTGTGCCTCTCTGTGCTTATTTAATGAAGATTTAGGAATTTGGTGACTTCACTGATTTATTGCAGAGCAGCAGGCCTGGAGTGAGCTTTCCTCCACTAACAGAACACATCCATTCCTAGCAGAGCTAAAACCCTCTGTAATCATTACAAATCCATGGAATTACCCAGTTTGCATTTCAAACATATTCTGTTGGCCACTTAAGTTTGCATACTTTTAATATTGCCCAAATAAAATTATTCTGGAGTTGTTTGTAGCTACTCCCTTCCCTTCTGCAGGGTTTATTAACAGCTTGATCAGGTTGTTTGCTGCAGTCAGTGTCTGTGTGCTGAAAAGGGGTGTCAGGGATGCTGGGGGTGCACCCAGGAAGGTTTTCCAGCCTCAGGTGTTGCCTTTCCTCTCTCACACAGCTCCCAGCATTTTTGTGTTTAGTTCTGCTGCTGAGGACATTCTGTCTCCTTTCTCCCTGCCCTCAAGTCCTGTCATTAATCTCCTTCTTTAGTTTTCCATAATGCAAATATTTACACTTCATTTAACCACACAAACGATGATTCCTTTAACCAAAGAAGTCCTTGTAGGGCAGGAGATGGTCGTGGAGAGTCTGAAAAACCAGAGACTGCAAACTCTAAAAGTCAATCAAGCTTTAAAGCAGGGGCTGAACGTCTCACTGAGGCACCCAAGCAATCTGTGAGGCATCGAGGCTACAGTCATAAAGTGAATTATTTGCCAGCTGATTATTTACGCTTGCTTTGTTTAATTGCAGTTCGAAAACGAGATCATCACCAAACTGGATCATGAAGTGGAAGGAGGCCGTGGAGATGAGCAGTACAAAGTATTATTTGACAAAATGTAAGTGTTGATCAGCAGCAAAATTTATGTCACGGGGAAGTCAGGAGAGAGAGCAATTAGACTACAATGAACTTTGTAGCCCAGAAATAATTAAAATCTGTTAACGATGCGCAGTATTTAAAACTGCACCTGAGTCAAGGTTTTTCTCTGCATGTGATTAACAAGGCAAACTTAATTGGTTTTTCAGCCTCCTGGAGCACTGCAGGAAGCACAAATATCTGGCCAAGAGCGGGGAGACCTTTGTGAAGCTGGTGGTGAGGCTGATGGAGAGGCTGCTGGACTACAGGACCATCATGCACGACGAGAACAAGGAGAACCGCATGAGCTGCACCGTCAACGTGCTGGTGAGCACCAAAATCCCAAATCACTGCAACATCGCCATGAAACTGCCACAAATTCCCTGTGAAACCACTGCAGAACCACCACAAATCACTGCAACATTGCCACAAAAATGCTGCGCAATCACCACAAGATCACCACAAAATCGCCAAAAAAATCACCACAAAATCACCTAAAAAATCACCACAAAATCACCAAAAATCACCACGAAGTCCCCACAAGATCACCACAAAATCACCAAAAATCACCACATAACCACCACCAAGTCACCCTAAAACCACCACAAAACTACCACAAAACCACCAAAAAGCACCACAAAATCACCCGCACGTCACCCAAAGACCCACCACAAAACTGCCACAAAACCGCCAAAAATCCCCACAAAATGATCATAAAATCACCATAAAACCAGTACAAAATCACCATAAAATCACCCAAAACCCCATTACCCTCAGAATCTTGCATCTTTAACAAAGGGCTGTGTCAAGCAGAGTGTCTGTTGGGATTCTTGGGGAAATTTGGAATGCTTTAGGTTTTTTTCCTATTTTTCTCCTATTTTGGTGATGGCAAATCTGTGAAAACATGGATTATCCCTTCTCTAATTGTTTCTACAGAAAGATTTAAGGAGAAATGTTACAGGGCATGTTCATTGGCATTTACAATTGATGTATAAACAACTCTGTGCTGAAAACCACTTGACATACAGAATGTTAGAGTTCTCTGCCATTTACTCCTAAAATTTCCCTGGATTTACAATAATTTTTATATTCTGCTCTCTGCTCAGCGCCTTTATTCAAATTATTTGGAGGAATTCAAGGTATTATTTGATTCACAGCAGGAAATGCTTGGCTTGTTTTCCTCACTGATGGGAAATTTTCTCCTCTTAGATCCTGAAATTTTGGAGCTTCACCCCATACAAAAATCTTGGTTCATCTGGGCTGGAGTTGGAAGCAATAATTGTTCCCGTTGTACTCACACTCATGGTCTTTGGTGGAGATTTGGAAAATGAGATTTTACAACTCAAAAATCAGCACCCATGAAAGATAACTTTCAGAGACCTCAAAATAACATGAACTAAATTTAATTTTTTCACTGTTTGCCACTGAGAATTCCAAGCTTTCCTCCCCATATCATAATCAAAGTTTTGATTTTGCTCAAATACATGAGGCACAGCCAATATTTGTGATTTATGTGATCTGGTTTATGGATTTTGTTCAGGAAAGAGCAAAGTAAATTGTGCGCAGCTTTTTTTTTAAATATAATGTAGTTTTTAGCTTTTTTTTTTGCATCTAATGCAGTCCTGGCCTCGTGCAGTGCAGCCTTTACACTGCCCCCTTCTCATCAGCCATGAACAAAACAGTGCCCACTGGAGCAGGAGAGGAGATTAAGGCATCAAACCCGAAATTGGGCCTTTATTTTTAGTTTGTTTTCCCTCTCTTTGCACATCAGAAAGCATCAGGATATTTGGGAAATGGGCAAAGGGGAGGGATTTGGAGAGTTGTCACAGGCTGGTGATGCAGCAAGTGCTGTTGGGCTGCCTGCAGAAAGGTCACGGCGTCCTCCCGAGCAGAACCCTGCTGGAAAATCCTGCCAGGTCTCCAAGCAGGATGGGGAACAGCACATCCCAGTCACCACACACTGTTCAAACTGGGAAAATTCCCCGGGGAAGGTGAAGTTGTTTCTCCTTCCCTTCGTGAGAGCACTCGGAGCCTCCTGCCAGGAATTTCGGCACCCCGTGGGGGAGGCGTGGAACCCGTGGGGGTTTGTTCTCTCCAGGTGTCTCCCAACAGCTTCTCCTGGTGCTGCTTTTGGGCAGCTGAATTTGCCAGGCATTTGCAGATGATGGATTCTGTGGGTGATGTGCTGCTGCCAGGTTCTGTCACCGTGAGCCACCGAGCACAGGAGCCGCTGGAATTCCCGGGAAGCGGCGCGGGGCGGAATTTTCCGTCGTTTTTCCCTTGCCATAATTTCAAACCTTAGCTTGATTTTACACTCCCCTTTTCCCTCCAGGGCCCACTCAGCCTTTTCATCATTCTCCAGGTACCTGAAGTGAAATTCATGCCTTTGCAAAAATCCAACCCACACTGAAACTCAGCACGATTCCCATGTGAGGTCTCAAAGGGTTCCTAATTGGGACTTTATTGATCCTGAGCTTTTCCTGGGATTAAATTTATCTGCACTGATGGTAGTTTAACTGGGAGGGTTTGATCTGCACATAAGTCAGTGCTGCTGGGAAAGGCTCTGGAGCCCCAGGAGGGGCTGAGGGAGTTGGGAAGGGGCTGAGCCTGGAGCAAAGGGGGATCAGGGGGACCTTGTGGCTCTCACAGCTCCTGCCAGGAGGGGACAGCCGGGGGGTCGGGCTCTGCTCCAGGAACAGGGACAGGAGCAGAGGGAACGGCCTCAGGCTGGGCTCAGGGTGGATATTTGGGAAAATTCCTTCATGGAAAGGTTTGTCCAGGCCTGGCCCAGCTGCCCAGGTGGAGTCCCCATCCCTGGAGGGATTTAAAATCCATGTGGATGTGGCACTTGGGGACACGGGGCAGTGGTGGCCCTGGCAGTTTGTTTCTGAATTGAACCCAAGACTAATAAGCAGTTATATTAACTGGAATAACCCTGGAATAACCCATCATTCCTCTCTGAAAAGTGGATTCTGTCTCTGAACTTGCATTTCCGTTCTCTTTTAAGGGATCACTTTTGTGTTGGATTTATCCCACTTTTAGTGCTGGGTTTGTGCTCTTTTATTGCGTCTTCTTTAGTTTACCATTGAAATATATATAATTCAGTGAAGAAGGACTTTCTTGGTTTTTTGTTTTCTTAGATACACTTTAAATTTTGGAGGCAAACTTGAAATTAGATTCAGAAATGCCTTGAATCTCTCCTCCAGTTATCATATTTTGCATTTACAATATTTGCACTGTTAACCAGTTTATCTCAAGGCTGGAGGCACTCAGAGGAGAGTGATGCTAATGTGTGACATATGAAACCAGGTAAATAGCACTAAAATAACTTTGTATTTCCAAGGAAACTGTTAGACTCCAAGAGCAGATGATGTATTGCTGGACTAAGGTTTGGAGTTTTCAATGCATACAACAACTGTTGCTTAAAAATATTTCTAATTCGTATATTAGAAAATTTTCAGCTGAAAATGGTTAATGATGTGTGACTTGCAAATGCCAGCAGCAAATTTCTAGCTGTATTATTCTTGCAAATTCTTAACCTTTGCAATGAGACAGAAACCCTAAAACATTGCAACATGAAACATCCCAGCCTTTGATTTTCTGAGTTAAAGAACTTGTGTTCCATCACTAGAGGCAAATTTCATTTTGCAGTTTGGAGGTTGATGTTACGCAATTATGAATTTTTAATTTGGAGCGTGTTCTGTGTACATTCCAAAGTGTGAAATCAAAGACTTTGTAACCAAATTATGTTGTTTTTCAGAATTTCTACAAGGAGATCGAGAGGGAAGAGATGTACATAAGGTTTGTAAACATGACTGGTGACAAACTGCCTGACACAGACTCTGTAATTGGGGAAATTAAGTTCATATTAAGCAGTCACCTGGGGGCTGGAGGAGAGGAGTGATGAAAAATCACACCTTGGCTGAACCTGAAGTAATTCAAAAGCTTATCTGCACTGAGAACAGAGTGCTGGAAGTGAAAGTCAGCAGATTATCTCTGTCCCCTTTCTCCAAGTCCTTCAATTCCATTACAATGAGCACTGAAATACTCAGGAGCCAGAATTCTCCTGTTGGTGAAGAAAACAAATAAGCTGAGCAAAAAATTATGTTGCCTCCTGGTGAGGTACAAAATATGAGACTTGGAATAAAAACAGCTGTTAAATAATACCTGACTGATAGTTACTTTAAACTTAAAGCTTTCAAAATCTCTTTTCAGTCCAAGTAAACATGCAAATATTGTGCTTTCTGTAAACCTCAGGGTTCACAGCCCCCATTTGTGCTTTGGCTGACTATTGCTTACACTGTTGTGCTAAAATGAAGTTTGTGTTTGTACTGCTATTTTAGGTATCTAAATGTGACTCATGATTCACTCTCAGGTGCTTGTTATCTTTTCACTTGTCAACTCTCTTCCTGTTGTTTAAATGGTTTTAATTGGTCTTTTAGAAGTTTGTAAAAAGAATAGGAAATGGCAGGATTGATAACTGTGGACAAACACATGAAGTTATTTCTTATTATTTGGGTCTGCCATGTTCAGCATCTCTATAAAGACAAATTGTCTCTCACTGTCAAACCCCCAGCCAAATTCTCTCCAATTTGTGTTAACAAACTTAAAATGAATATCAAACTTGAAAGGATTTTCACTGGCTTTTTCAAAATACAATTTTTAATAGTTTTGTGGGGATTTTTTTAACGGTCGGTATAAAAATCATCAAACAAATGAAGAGAATCCCCTGCCAGAGGTGTGATGATATTGAAGTTAAAGAATGAAACTTATTCCTGTCCCCATAGCTGAACTGTAAAAGTGCTCTGTCTTGCACAAAATCTGGATTGGATTTATTACTCACTACAAGTCATTCTCGTGGTGTTCAGTCAAAGATGGGACTCAGTCTTGGAGGACTTTTCCAACCTTATTAATCCCTTGATTCCCTGAGTGTCCCTTAAAAACAGCACAGTGAAAATGCAAATGGTCCTAAATGTTTTCTGCACACTGAAATGGGAACTTTATCCCATCCCACAAGTACTTACTTGTTTGAAGATAGACTTGAACCCTTGTAATCTTCAAAAGAAATGCTTGAATAACATCTTAAACCCACTCTTTTTAAGAGCCATTGTTTTTGTTGCTGGCAGGTACCTGTACAAGCTGTGTGACCTGCACAAGGAGTGTGACAACTACACAGAGGCTGCCTACACCTTACTCCTGCACGCAAAGCTCCTCAAGGTAAACCCCAAAACACATCCTGAGTCTGGGAAATGCCAGCAGCAGCCAGCCAGGGGGGAGTTTGTCACTCAGAACTCTGCACTTGAAGCTGATGAGCAGCTCTGTGCTGGGCTCCCTTTTGCACATGGAATTCATCCCCAGAGAAAAGCAGCTCTTCGCTGGGTGGCAGAGGTGGATCTTGAGCTGGAGTGAAGGGAATGTGGTCAAGTCAGCAGCACCAAGTCCAAATTGCAAATATCCAGACTGTACAATGTGTGAAAGCCTCTAACCAGATATTTTAGTAAATGAGCTCTCCACAGATCTTTTGTGCAAGGAGTGCTGGAGCCCCTGCTCGAGTGCTCTTGGGTGTCTGTAACTGATTTCAGAAAATTGCAGAGAGATTCAAATGGCCTTCTTTCCAAGGTCGTGCCTTTAAAAGGTGCACATAATTGTAATGCAGTGTTACCCAGTTTATAGCACATTTGAAGAGGCACAATGATATTGCTCCTCTTCAAGGAATGTTTGGTGTAGCCTGCAATATGCACAAATAATATGTTACCTGCAGAAAGTGGCTGAAATAAAGCATTTGAGTGTTTAACACCATGCACTGCCAGCCAGAAATGGAGTGAAGCTGTATTTCAGCAGCATTAATCTCTTGAAAACATTCAGGAGAGAAGGTGTTGTCTCTAACATGCAGCTTTTTTACGTGCTGATGTCACAGATGTGGGAGCAGGTACCCACTTTGCTCTCCTGGTTATCACTTAGGAAGATGCTGCTCTTGCCAGCAGACACTTGTGTCGTGAAATCACATTTAATACAACTGAATCATCACTGAATTCCTAGGTTTATGTTTTAATTTTGAAAAGCAGTTAATGGGAAAAGTAAAAATCTCAGTGTGGTAAGAATGAGAGGTTTTGGAAGGGTTGGATTTAGTCCTGTTTGTCTTCCTCACATTTCACAACCTGCAGTGAAATCTTTCTTCCCCAGGGAGTGCTGGATCTCTTTCCACTCCCCTCAAGGACATGAGCCTCCCCCAGGAGCACAGTCAGGGACAAATAAATGAGAATTTCATTTTCCCCTTGATCTCCTGCCCATTCCAATGGCAAGTGTATTGCAGCCTCCTGGTCCAGGGAAAGTTTCCCTTCCCACTGCAGGGGATGGAGCCAGATGGGCTTTAGGGTCCCTTCCCACCCAAAGTCAGCTGGGTTTGTGTGATTGCACCCTGCTGGTGCCCCTCTTCATCCAGGAAATGGAGCTCATCCTTAGCAGCCACCTGTTCTTGGCAATCCTGGCTTTAATTTCAGCAATCCCCAGCAAAGTGTGAGCGTCAAATATCTATTTTGAAAAGTTGAAAAGGGGAAGGTGTTAAATTTCTGATGGATGCACTGAGAATTATTCGTACTTCAGAGCTGAGTAAACTGCATCCAAGCCATAAAAAGACTAAATATTATGCAGAGTGTAACATGTGCAATTTAAATTTAGACACTCTGAAATGTATTTACTGTATTTTAAAATCATTAGAGGGTTATTACACAAGGAAACATCTCAAAGATTCATCTGGAGTGCCAAAGCACTGTGCCCACTTCACGTGGATGAACCTTTTAGACAGGAGGAAGGATTCATTCCCTTCCGTGGGGCTGTGTTCCTGAATAAATGTTGGAATAAGCCACGCCATAAAACCTCACTCAGACTTCACCTGGCATGACTTGGACTAGACAATTTACTTCCTGTGACCTCAAATTAGAGTTTGGGCAGTTGTGGCTGTTCTTAGGGAGTGTGTTCAGAGCAGGTGAGTGCCTCACTTTGTGTGCTCCTTTGAATTCTGTGGGAGAACTCCATGGGAAGAAAGATCCATTTTTCTCTCCTAATACAAATCAATAGTAGATGGCAGGGTAGGATTTGTCACAGGTTTTCATCCCTCAGTGGATGTTTGTTTGTAAATATAATTTCATTAGAGGCTGGAATTACTTTATTATGAAAGTGTATCAGTCTCTGCCTCAGTCCCTGCTCCTGCAGCCCAGGTGGAGGGAGGAGTTCAGTGTTGCCTGAGAAGCAGCAATATTGGGGGTGTGTAACTGAGCAGTTGAGTTTTTCTGTCAAGCCTCAGGACAGGATTTTCAATGACACTCATCACGGGCAGATATTTCATCCTGCTGATTTTAATGGGATCACATTGAGGGCAAGACTGAGAGTGTGTGAGAATTTCACCTTTAAATCTGCAAGAAGGCTCTGCCTGGGGAGGGAGAGAGGCCAAATTACTGAAAGCTGACAAAGTACACTCAAGAAAAGAAACTTTACTCAAGAAAAGAGACTTTTGTTGTGTTTTCAAACATTTTTTTTCCTCAAAATTGAGGTGTGCAAAACTTACAGAAGATAGCTCTGAGCATGCTGAAAAAAAATTCCATCACACTGTAGGCTACAGCAGGTTTGTGTTGCTCAGAAAGAGAGTTCAGGACAGAGCTGTCAGACGTGTCTGCAGGACACAAACACAAACATTTTGGCCAAAACAAGAAGTGATTGGGTGAAATTTAATAATATATAGGAGGTAAAGTAGCAGTAATTCTGGAAATTAATCTGGAAGTTGCTCAGAGAAGCTGTGGCTGTCCGTGGATCCCTGGAAGTGTCCAAGCCAGACTGGGGTTTGGAGCAGGCTGGGAGAGTGGAAGGTGTCCCTGCCATGGCAGGGGTGGGATGGGATGGGATGGGATGGGCTTCAAGCTCCCTTCCAACCCAAACCACTCCATGATTCCTATGATTGATGTTTTCCCTTGATCCATCAGGCATTTGCTGGAAGAGGCAGAGCTGCTAATTGCAGGCAGGCTGGATAAAGTTAATTATGTTTTCCCTGCCTCCAGAGATCCTCAGTGAGTTGGAGCTATCTCATTTCCCTGCCTGCAGCCCTTCCAACTGATGCCTTGTGAGGCTGCCCTGGAGCAGAGGCTGGGCAGAGTCACAGAATAAAGCAGGGATTTATTCCAGGATCTCCTCATGGATCCACCTTGGGCAGCACCAGAGCCCAGTCAGGGCTGCACCCAAATGACCCAAAATGGTCCCAAAATGAACCCAAATGATCCAAAATGGTCCCAAAATGCACGAGCGCTCCCGGGGCTCTCCCTGGGATCAGTTCTGCTCCATTGGCACCTTGGAGTTCATTGTCCCATTCCAGCTCCAGCCCAGGCAGTCCCATCCTGCTGGTTTTTCTCTCTCCAGCCCACGGTGTTTGTGCTCCTGGGCTGAGGTTTGGATCATTTGTCCTTGGTGCCCAGCTGGAGTAGGAATTGTTTTGTCTCCGTGCTCTGTGCAGAGCTCAGCATCCCCTGGTATGAAGCTCAGACCCACTAAAGCAGCACAGAATGTGAAAAATAGAAAAGCCAAAGCTGAGGCATCACCTCTGTGCTGATGGGTCTGGGCTCCAGGGTTCTCTCACATGAGGTGAAGTGTTCATTGTGTCCCCAGCGGGCTGCACCCATCAGCAGGCCACGGTCACCCTCATCAAACTCACTGAGGAGAAGAAGCCTCCTCCAGAAGCTCCCTTCCAGCTGATGGATGTAATTAGCCTCCAGTTACAGCATCCAAATAAATGCTCCTTGTGCCCAAGGAAGCAAAGGGCACAGCTGTGAAAAAACCCTTTGTTGGTGCATTAACTGCAGTGCCACTCCCTTAAATAAAGCCCCTCTCTTTTATTTCACTTCAGAACTCACAGCTCTGGATTTGCTTTCACTTTCCCCCTTTTTTTTTGTGTGATTTAGTGGTCAGAAGAAGCGTGTGCAGCACATCTTACCCAGCGGGATGGATACCAGGCTGCTACTCAAGGACAGCTGAAAGATCAGCTCTATCAAGAAATTATCCATTACTTTGACAAGGGCAAGGTAAAAAGGGAAGAAAAACAGAGTAAATGTATTTCATTGCTTTTCTCTCAAACTTATAAATTTAATAGTAAACATAGTTTGCATCCAGTGACCTTCAGGAAGCACTTACAGATAATGATATTACAAAAAAAAAAAAGTCAAAAGAAATCAATGGTACATTTATAACTCATCTTTTAAAGGCAAATATATGGGCTTATGATGCCATGGAGTAAATAAAAAAGTGATGCATGTAATTTGGAGGACTTTTTCTGGCAGTTACAAGAACTACCAGAATCCTTCAGCTCCCCTTGTTTTTCCTCATGTACACAAAAATAATTCCCTCAGGGCCTGGATGTCTGTGGTTGATATAATAAATATCCTGGGATGAGGATATTTCATTGCAATTGCATCTTTTAATGCAGAAGGAAATTGCATTTGGCATTGCTTGGTGTTGGAGAGGAAGGGGGTTAATGTGGGAGACAGGGATGGATCAGTGTTTGGGTATTTCAGGCACGAAATATCCAAGTATAGAAATAGGAATCTCTTTGTCAGACATTTCAGAAGTGTAATCTTGGGGTTTAAAAGTAAACAGAAGTGGTGTTTTCTGGTAGAATTAGAATATTACCCAGCCAGCCCATCCTTTCCAGGTGAGTTTTTAGCAGAATCAGATTAAAATCCTAGAATAAATTTGATAGGAACTATCATTTCTATAATTTTGCTAAAAATGTTGCTTTAGAAGTCAAATTTTATAGCTTATCTTAATGCAATACTTAGAAGTTGTTAATGAATGATGCTAAAAGTTGTAGTTTTGGATTAGGGTAAAAATTGTAATTCTGGACTGGGACAAAAGTTGTACAAATATAATTCTGGAGTGGCTGTTTGGTGTTGGGGCTGGTGGAGGTGACCTGGGGACAATTCCTGCTGCCCAAAAAGCTTTTCCTGGGTGAATGAGAAGAATCTCATTTGAGTGAGGGTCACAGCTGATTTTAAAGCTTATTTTTATCTTACATTCCTGTCTGGAAGGAAAACTAGGAGTTGTCTGTTTTTATTTTGTTGGTTTATTTTGTTTTATTTTATTTTGTTGGTTTTATTTTGTTGGTCTTTATGGCTTCTAGTTGGTCCTTTCTGGTGTCCAGGCACTGGGAATTGTTCTGCTGAGCACCAGTTCTGTGCAGAACTCAAGTGCCAGGACTCCTGTGGGATTTTTGTGTGTGTGAGGAGATGATTTATTTCCAACCTGCTCTTTCCTACTCACAGATATTCCTTCTCTCATTTCCTGGTCACTCAAGCTGGTGATAATTTTTCACATTACTCCATGAAAAGGGAAATAAAAAAATCAATATACACTGAGAATACTCATCTTGTGTGATTTTGCAAATGTCAGGAAGCTCCAAGTGGAGGTTTCCAGTGTAGATTGAAGGTAATCCTCTCATTTGGGATGTTCTGACATTCAGTTAAATCAACTTCTTGAGTTCCTTGAGCAGTTTGCAAATGTAGCCCAGCAGCTGCTTTAGCTCTCCGTGATCAGTAAAACACCTGAAACAGCTTTTGCTGTGCATTTTTGGGATGCTGAACCCATGCCCAAACCAATTCCTGCTTTTTTTTTATGCCATAATCACCCAGCTGGGTTCACTCCACATCATCCCACTTGTTTGATTTCCCTTCCCATTAAGTTAACGAGGTGCAGAAGAAGGCCACCAGCACTGGGCAGCTGTGCAGACACCTCAGGCTTTTCCAGAAGCTCAGGAGTTTTGTTTTCAACAAAAAACTGAGCCTGTGTCTCTCCCACCCCAACCTGCCTGATGGGAAGCTGTGGATTTGGGAAGGGAGGGAGATGTGGGAGTTACAAACATTGTGCAAGAAGAAATGGAGCAGAGGGATTTCCTAAAATTTGGTTTAAAACATTAGGGTTTTATTTTTAAAGGCTGGTGTAGTTCAGCCTCTCAAAAATCAGGATCCCTTTCTCTTGGCAGAGCAATTTCCCAGGGGAATTTACAATTTCTTTGTCTATTGAAAGCCAACCACGAGGCTCATCCCTTAAATATTGGCATTCACGGGCAGGTGAATTTAGATTTGATCCTCCACACACATGCTGGAATGGAGTGAACACTTCACTTCTGGCCCAGAAGTGCCTGAGAGATCTGTGAGTGAGGAAAGGGAGTGTGGACTTACCCTGAAGGCAGGAATGGCACCTCACATGGGCTGAGAACAACATGCTGGCCCTCACCAGAGTATCCCTGCTACTTGGAGTTCAAGATCCATTTAGGATTCCTCATTTTAATTTCTATTTTTAATCTATTATTCTTAGCATGTCTGGTTTTTTACCTGTATTTGACTTTTGGTCCTTAAGCCAACTTTTTATAAAGCTGAAGTACAGCTTTCACCTTTAGGGAAGGAGCATTTTTCAGAAACAACTTTTGCATTTTGCAGTTCTTCTACTTTATGGATTTGATTTGATTAGTTATGCTCTTCATTTCTTTTCTAAACTCCTTCTTTCCAAAAGGAAAGTTACTTCCCTGGTATAGGGATCCTGTTTTCTCCTAGATCATTCTTCTTCACTGCACTGCACTTTCCAGTCTCCTCTCCATCCCTCTTGGCTTTTGCCCTTAAAATCCTGATCCTCAGGCTTATCCCAGCAGTCTGACCCATCCTTTGAACTGCTCTCAAGTGTTTGCTCTCTCTGTGTTTTCCTGAAGCTTTGTGATTTCCAACAAAGCCCTTAATGCAGGGACTTTACTGGAAATCCTTGGGTTAGAATATCCCAAGGAGAGAAGGGAAATAGTGATGGGACTAAAGGGATGGGGGAAGGGGTGACATTTTTCCTGTGGGAAGGAACTGATGGAAATCAATGCTGATGAGCTTGTGAATCCAGGGGATGCTCCTTGGCCAAGATCAGGTGTTGGTTTAGACCAGGTTTGTTTGTGGAAGGAAGGGAAGCAGCAGCATTGCTATCCTGCCTGCTGAAATGTGGGAGCAGCTCAGGATTGCTGGTGATGCTGTGCTGCTGCCCATAAGTCAGGACAGGTTTTCCTCTGCTCCTCCATCAATTGAAAATGTTGGTCCTGAGGAGAAAAAACTAAACAAATGCACACTGCTCATTTATTTCTGCTCCTCCTTTCTCCCCTCCTCCTCCTCCAAAAAAAAAACAAAAAAAGCTTTTACTGCTTTACAGCAGCCACAGAACAGAGAACAGAAAATATCTGAAATTACACAGCAAATGCCATGCTTTGGCTTAAAAGGCCTTTTTTTCTGGCTCATGGGATGACATCAGATGGCTTTTTATTCCCTCTTAACAAGTGAGTGGTGAAATTCACCTGTCTGCCAAAAATCTGTGTGAGGCTCATGGCCAGCTCAGCCCCGGAGCTGTCCTCAGAGCTGGGAAGGACAGAGAGTCTTGGGAGAGGGAGGATACAGATTCTGACCATGTTCCAAATGGATATATTTATTTATTTAAAGAGTTTCCAACCTGGCTGTATCTTGAATGCAGTGCTAACAATAGAGAAATGCTGAGTTTTAGCATTTTATTGAAAATATTAGGCATTCATGCTGGTTAATTAACACTACCTGAAATTTAACCAGCTTAGAAAGTCTCTCACACATCAGAACGTGGCACCATAATATTCTTATCCCAGACTTATTTCACTGCTCCTGACCATTAACTCTGCAGGAGCTCAAAAATACCCTGAGATCCTCCTTTGCTGCTATTAACCTCAAAAACTAAATTGGATGCTGTAGTTCTTTCTGGCCAACAAGCAATCCAACTTAAAAAATAAATTAAATTGCTGGGTTTTCCCTAAAAAACACCTCTTGCATCTGCAAAGTCTTGCCCAGAACAATTTGCAGCTCATGTCTACACAACTAAATTTAAACTCTGCACATTTTTCTTACCCCCTGAGTATGAAAGAAGCATTTTCCTTCCAGTATCAGCAGCCTCTCTCCCTGGTACCCTCTCCAGATAAATTGTTTCTCCCATTAATGAGTTGTACCTGGTACAAATCCTGTGTAGGAGCTCCCTGTACGACTCATTTCTCCAGAAGACTTGCCATGTCCTGGGCAAAGCTGGGAAAGCTTCCAAGGCAGGAAATCTGCGAGGCAGCAGATTGGGAGTTACTGACCTTCAGGAATACAGATTTCATTCATCAGGATCCTGGGCCACAGCCCTGCTGTCCTCACCTGAATAAATTGGCTCTGGAGCAAACAGCTGAATTTTTCACAGGGTTGTGCAGGGGGTGTGAGGCACACAGACCCTGTTTGCCTTGAAAATGGTGGGAAAATCTCCAGTTTTAGGTTGGTTTTCTGTGATGTTGGAGGTGTTGCACAAGGGAAAAGCCAGGTAGCTCAGGAAATAGCCTCAGGTTGCACCAGGGGAAGTTTAAGTTGGATATTAGGAAAAGTTTCTTCATGGAAAGGGTTGACAAGCAGAGGAACAGGCTGCCCAGGGCAGTGGTGCTGTCCTCATCCCTGGAATTGTTCAAAAAATGTGTGGATTTGACACCTGAGGAAAGGATTTATTGTTTAACAAGGTGATGGTTGATGATCTCAGAAGTCTTTTCCAACCTCACTGATTCTGTGGACTCCTGGGCCTCTGGAGTTCAGGGCTCTCTCCACTCAAGAAATTGAGTTCCATAATCCAAGTTCTCATTGTTCTTCTGAAGGAGCAACTGGACAGTTGGGAATTCCAAACAGAGATGTTGGAGCACAGTGAGGTTTTTAAGAGACAGTAGAAACAAAAACTGGGTGCTTTTTCTCTTAGACAGAGGTCTTGGCTGGAGAGGCGTTAGTTAGAGAAAGTTAGACTGGCAAAAATGGAAAGAATCTTTTCCCCTTTCTCCCTTTTTATTGTGTATTTGCAGAATGATAGATTTTCAGTACACTCCTGAAAGTGTTCCATCACAGATAATGTGACACCATGTCAGCAGGATAACTTGTAAACTGACCTTTAGAGAAACTTTAAAAGAATTTAAATAAGTAATTTAAGTCAGAAACAAATGTTCTAATTGAAGCCGCTCTGCTGAGAGAGCTGGAATTGTTTAACCTGGAGAGGAGCAGCTCCAGGGAGAGCTCAGAGCTCTGCCAGGGCCTGGAGGGGCTCCAGGAGAGCTGCAGAGGGGCTGGGGACAAGGGATGAGGGACAGGATGCAGGGAATGGTTCTGAGGTGAAAGTTGGTAGATTTAGGTTGGATATTGGTCAGGAGTTGTTCCCTGGGAGGGTGTCAGACCCTGGCACAGGTGCCCAGAGCAGCTGTGGCTGCCCCTGGATCCCTGGCAGTGCCCAAGGCCAGGTTGGAGCAGCCTGGGACAGTGGGAGGTGTCCCTGCCATGGCAGGGGTGGGAGGAGATATCTTTAACCCAAATCATTCTGGTGTGATTCCATGGTCTGGTTTTCTCCTGTTCATCTCCTTTTCCTTGCTAGGAAGAACACAAGGATTATGTGATTATTGTCTGTTGCACATGAACTAAATCTGGATCACATTTAATTTAAGGATTCATTTTTCAGGCTCTGGAACATTTACAGAATCCATTGTTAATATTAATATTCAGTAACATCTAAAGATGGAGGTGCAGTGGAAGCAGCCCCTGCTCCGCTTTGTTTATGGTGTTCACAGACAAGGGTGAGAAGGTGAAAAAAAAATCAAAGGAGATTTAATTCTGCTAAAATTGTTATTTAATCAGTGGCAGTGCTGTGGTACCTGTAGGCAGCGATGTGTAGGCAGAGTGTGTTGTCTGCTTTCAGAATCACTGACTGGCTTGGGTTGGGAAGGACCTTTAAAGGTCACTTGGTTCCACCCCACCACAAGCAAGGATGTCAGCTCTCCCAGGTTCCTCCAGCCTGGCCTGGGACACTGCCAGGGATCCAGGGGAAGCCAGAGCTGCTCTGGGCACCCTCACAGGGAAGTATTTCTTCCCAATATCCATCTAAACCTTCTGCATTCCCAGATGTGGTTTGGGAACGTATCTGCGCTCATGCAGGTTTCAGTGGGGAGAACCCGGGGAGTTTGTTTACAGTGTTGATGCAAATCAAAAATTATTTAGGCTTCAGTTTATTTCCAGTCTCATTCTGGAGAGGGACTGGTTAAATCTGGAAGACACAAACAGGGAACCAGGACAAGGGAAGTGATGGTCACACTGTTGTCTTTGAAATTAAAATATGCACAAGTTATGGATGACTGAAGTTCAGAAGAAAATGGCACTCAAAATGAGAGAAGGTTAAGTGATTTTGAAAGCTTTCACTTGCTGACTTAACAAACACCTGAATATTAGTTCAGTTCCTATAAATTGGTGCTATATTGCCCTTCTGAGTCAAAATTAACTCAGCTTGGTATGTGAAAAAGTCTTCCTTTTTCTGCAACTGTGCCTTTACTCTTAAATTCATGTTAATTTTTGTTTAAAAATAAAAACATGCTCTGTATCATCATGCTAGATTAGATCCATAATATGGATAAAAACATTCAGATCCTTCCATTTGCAAAAATTGCGTTGCAGAGCGTTCAGGCTGCCTTGTAATTTCCTGCAGACGTGATCCCTCATTACCGTGATTGTAATTAGTCCTTCTGATGCGTTTTTCACCTTCAAGGCACTTTACAAACATGAGGCAACTCATGCTCATTCCAGTCCTCTTCCCTAGATAAATAACATTCTGAACCTTGTTGGAGAAATAAGTAAAATCAAGAGGAGGGGTCGAATATCACGAGGAGCTGCAAGGAAAGGTTAATGAAGATCCAGATTCTGCTTCTTGTGAGCATTCATGGCTTTTTAATCTTGAATTAGGTCACCGCTTTGTCCAGACACCATCTCAGCTGGTTTTTGCAGGGCTCAGAAGCTCCTTTCCCCTTGCTCAGCCCCACAGTGCAGTTTTCAGCCCTTATTTTGTCTTTACTTGGAGGGCAGAAATCTCTCTCCTTTCTCACTGTCATCTCCCATGTTTTTTTGCTCTGCATTTCCTCATCTGCACCATCAGCAGCTCCCTGCCTCTCCAGGCTGCTGCTTCCCAGCCATTCCCACTCAGTTTGCCAGGAACAACCTTGCAGTCCACCCCTCCCCTTTTTTGGCTCCTTTTTTCCAGAGAGGAGCAGGGATGCCCAGTGAACCAATGGGACCCATCTTGCTTTTTGTGACATTGGCTGAGGATTCATCCTTAATGTTTTATTCTTATTTTTTAGACCAGCACCTAGAACCAGGAATTTTCCTAAAAGTCTTATTTTTTTTTCAAGTTTTCCTGATAAACTAAGATGCAATTTCAACTTGCAGATCAGTAGACGAATAGAATTCACCTGACACTGATTTTGGGGCTTTGAATGTGGAATTTAATTTGTGTGGTTTGGGGAACTTTTAGGTTTTGGTGTGTAAAATATCTCTTATTTGCACAGTGCTTTGAAGAGGATGGGATTGGGGGATTTTTATGGGATGGATGCAGGGATCAGGTGTTGTGGAGGTTTCTCCAGGTCACTGTTCCTCTTCCCTCCCCACCTCCCACCATCTTTGGAAGTTGGTGCTTCATCCCAAACTCCCTGTCCCCAGAGGTGGATGTTTTTAGGGAAAAATGGGGAATTGTGTGTTCAGCCTTTGCCTCATTCCTCCTCCATCCACCTGCTCTTGGCTGCTGCATCCCCTCAGGATTCCATGAGGGCGAGGAATGTGTGGCCTGATGCTGAGAGGAGAATTAGGTGGTGTGGCCAGAGGATTTAAATTTAAGATGAAGACTGATAAAATCTGCATTTCTAACTTATTCTGAAACTCATTTTTATAATAAAGTGAGGGCAGCAATGCCAAGCAAATTTCAGCAGCAGAGGTAGATCATCAAGTTTGATCTTAGATAGCCTGGTGTGCTAATTTAAGCATATTTTTGGGTTTGAGTGGTTCTTTATCTTTGGAGTGGAAAAAACAAATGAAAAATGCACATTTAAAACCATTCTTGCTGCTCCTCATTAAGGCTGTTGCCTTCTGAGGAGCTGAAGGATATTGTTAAATTTCTTTGGGTCACTTGAGACGGCTGCTGAATTTCATGGTTGAGGAACAAGAAGAAGAAGAACCAATGGATATATAATGAGTATTTGTTCAAAGCAATATCTGCAAATTGCCTGTCCTGTCTAATACAGATTACAGATATTAGAGGGAGAGAGAGGTGATTATGAAATATAATCAATCACCAGCTTTGCTCCAAAGCCTGAGGTCCTGGGTGTCTTCGTGGACAAGCTGTGTTTACACATTACTGGATGGGCTGGCAGGAATGATTTCACTTCTGAAGCTCTTAATCAAGATCATTTGAACGTGAAGCTCTGATGTCAAGATCATGAAGCTCTCAAGTCGAGATCATTTGACTTGATTGGGATCCAGTAAATTTGCATCCCTTGCCAGGGAAGATCATGGAGCAGATCACCTCGAGTGCCACCAAGCCAAGAAGGCCGATGGCCCCTGGGTTGTGTTAAAAATGGTGTGGAGCAAGACCAGGGCAGGGATTGTCCCTCTGTACTGGCTCTGCTGAGCCATCTCCAGTCCTGTGTCAAGTTTTGGGCCCATCAATGATAAAAAAAGTCATTAAGGGGCTGGAGTGTGTCCAGGGAAGGGATCAGAGCACCAGGAGGGGGCTGAGGGATCTGGGAAGGGGCTGGGAACTCCTGAGGGAGCTGGGAAGGGGCTGGGAACTCCTGAGGGAGCTGGGAAGGGGCTGGGAACTCCTGAGGGATCTGTGAGGGGGCTGGGAGCTCCTGAGGGATCTGGGAAGGGGCTGGGAACTCCTGAGGGATTTGGGAAGGGGCTGGGAACTCCTGAGGGAGCTGGGAAGGGGCTGGGAACTCCTGAGGGATTTGGGAAGGGGCTGGAGAATTCCTGAGGGAGCTGAGGGGGCTCAGCCTGGAGCAAAGGGGGATCAGGGGGACCTTGTGGCTCTCACAGCTCCTGCCAGGAGGGGACAGCCGGGGGGTCGGGCTCTGCTCCAGGAACAGGGACAGGAGCAGAGGGAACGGCCCCAGGCTGGGCTCAGGGTGGATATTTGGGAAAATTCCTTCATGGAAAGGTTTGTCCAGGCCTGGCCCAGCTGCCCAGGGAGGTTTGGAGTCCCCATCCCTGGAGAGATTTTAAATGTGGCTGTGGCACTTGGGGACACAGGGCAGAGGTGGCCCTGGCAGTGCTGGGAATGGTTGGACTCCATGAGCTTGGAGGGCTTTTCCAGCCTCAACATCTCCATGATTCCATTAATTGAGACATTTATAACCCCAGCACAGCTCTTTGGCACATCAGATGCTCAGTGTTTTCAGGCATGTGACACAATTCATTTGGTTGCTTTATTTAGATTTATTTGATTCTAATGTTGATGTTTAACCAAGGTATGTAATTCAGCTTCTTTTTGTTGTTTTCTGATTTTTTTTTTCCAACAGATGTGGGAAGAGGCCATTGCCTTGGGTAAAGAACTTGCAGAACAGTATGAAAATGAAATGTTTGATTATGAACAACTCAGTGAACTGCTGGTAGGTTTTTTTTAATGACATAGACACTGCAATAATTTATTTCAGAGTTGAATTTCTAAGCTTTTAAAATTATATTAAAAATACTATAGCAATGAGAGTAAAATTCAGAAATAAATACCCATCGTGGTTTTGTTGGACCAGTGTCAATTAACTGGCTACCACTGGATTGTCTGAAAAACATTGACTTTTTTTTTTTTTAGCTGAAAGAAAAACATTGCAGTAATGCTAAGCTGATTTATTTGGGGTATAAAAGGAAATTTTGAATTTAAATATAAATGGGACATGGAAAAAAAATCCCCATTCTCTCTCAAGTGTTTTTCTATATTCACATTTCTTTTTTTAGGTATGAATAATCCCCAAGCATTCATGTCTCCAGTCAGTTATTTTTGCCCTGACGTTACCCATTCATTATTCCTGCACCATTTTTTTCCTCCTGTTCTCTTCCAAAGAGATAAATGGCAGTTGTCAATGTCCCTCCTCAAGTCCCAACCATTTCCACAGGAGCTGGGATGTGGTTCCAGTTTGTTTCTGAAAATTCTCAACTCTAAAGTTTCTGATCCCTTTTACTTTTGCACTCAGAGTACATTTTCCTCTGTTTCTTTGAATTATTTATTTGTTTTTTTTATCCCAGTGTGTCTGAGCTGGGCATTCCTGCAGTGTTGAGCTCAGCTCCACACAGCCTCAGCTCACTGCTCATGGTGAGGTGGACACAGCATATTCTTCATTTCAGTATAAAAGGAATTGGGTAGGATTGTTCCTCAACTAGAAATGGTTGTCAGATGTGATTATTCACCAGGGGGTGGCTACTCTCCAAGTCCCTCAGTTTTAATTTTCCATCTCCTTTTTGCTCGCACATGGGAACGTAACGGGTTTGTCACGGAGGCTGCCACTGTTTAATTATCCTGCTGGATCCATTTTGAAGGAGAAGTTGGAATTTGCACTTTATTCATTGTAGCCACTGATCACAGTGATTGAATGATTTGGATTGGGAGGACCTTAAAACTCATCCAGTTCCACCCACTTTGCCATGGGCAGGAACACCTTCCACTGTCCCAGGTTGCTCCAAGCCCTGCCCAACCTGGCCTTGGATATTTCCATGGAGTTTCTCCCTCTTCTAAGAAGGGAGATGCAGAATTTCCAATCCTCACATCAGACAATTGATTTTATCTGCTCATCAGCCAAGAGATGAGATGTCACACAATTAGTCCTGGCGTGCATTTCCCTCACAAGACAGAGATCAAAATTCACTCTCCCGTATGAGTCAGGTCTCACATACCCCATCAACTTTTCTCATTGCTGCTGCTGAGCAGCTCTTTTTTTTCTCCTATAATAAAATTTAGAAGTTTTTTGTTCTTTCTATTTTCCCTCTTGTCTCTTTTCTTCAAGCAATATTAAATATTAGCCTCTAAGACAATTCACAAATGACAAAATAGTTTTGCTCCAGACTAGCTGAGAAATGCTCAGCAGATCTGGGTCTTTGTAGTCTTGGTACTGTTATCTGTCATGTGGGAGCAGCACTAAACCTCCCCCCAGATCAAAAGTCATTCTCTTTGCAGAAATAATAGACTAAAAATAAATCAATGAACAGATCTTCAGAAGCTGCTCATTTGCTATTATTTCATCATTAGAGATAAAGCAGAACGTGGCGTCGAAAGCAGATGGTGTCTGACATGCGTGTGTTTATTCCAACATTTACATTTTCCTGCAGTTCTCAACTGCCTGCTTTCCATATGCAAATTTGTGGTTGTAAATATGGAAGAGAAGTAGTAGAAAAATGTAATGAGATGTAAGAGCCCAGAACTGACAAGTCAGCACCATTGGGATGAGCTGTGTGCAGCTTCATCCTCCTGGTGTTTTGGCGTCAGAAGTGTCACAACTGGAATTTCAGATTGCCTTGAAAATTCCTGACCTTCACTGCCAGTGAAATATTGGATATGAATCAGTGAGGTTCACCAAGATGAGGTCCATCAAAATTGAGATACTGGATTTGGAACAGTAAGGTTCACAGTGATGAAGTTCATCAATTGAGATATTGGAGTTCATCAAAATTGAGATGTTGGATATGGAGCAGTGATGTTCATCAAGATGAGGGCACTCAGAATTGAGATATTGGATATGGAACAATGAGGTTCACAATGATGAAGTTCATCAAGGTTGAGATATTGGATATGGAGCAGTGAGGTTCACCATGATGAAGTTCATCAAAATTGAGATATTGGATATGGAGCAGTGATGTTCACCATGATAAGGTGAAAATCATCAAAATTGATATATTCCGTAGGGAGCAGTCAGATTCACCATGATGAATAGAAAAATCAGGCTACAGAGTCTGGTATTTCCAAATATTGCCATGAATCTCATATAGAGGTGAGGAAAACAGAGGAATGAAACATCTTTAATTTAGAGATGCATACAAGATCTTAAATATAAAGAATCTCCTAAAAGCTCAGGTCATTCAAATCCCTCCTGTTTATTTTGCAGAGAAAACAAGCCCAGTTTTATGAAAACATTGTGAAGGTGATACGACCAAAACCAGATTATTTTGCTGTTGGATACTATGGCCAGGGATTCCCAACATTCATAAGGGTAAGTATCACCTGTTTCCAGAGACTTTTCTTGCTCTGGAAATTTCTCCTGGCTTGGAGAAACCTGCCTGAATACTGACAGGTGTTTTTTAGGTGTACAAAACAAACAACTGTTTTTTCCTTTCTGGTTTCTAAGATGGAATAGTGGAATTTTAGTAGAAAAGCTTTGTCTTCAAACATATTCAGTACTTTCTACAGGGTATTACTAGAAATGAAGATAAATGATCCAGTCTATTACTCAGGGTCATAACCATCTGAAATAGTGACATTTTTACCTGGCAGGTTAATTTATATTTTTATATATAGAATATATATATGAGCATGGTAGAAAAGCCTTTTGTATGTGACCATGTTTTCAGGTGAGTGTCCTTTCCAGCATTGTCACTAAAATGAAGTTGACTATCAAAGGTGTGTGTGACACCTTTAATAGCAATTTTTATCATTGATTTGTCTGTGTCATGTGCCAATTTAAGACATGTGGCACTTGGTTGATGTCAGAATCATAGCTTCAGTGGCATTTTACAGTTTTTTTTCACTAATATTAGGATTTTTGTGGGTTGAATTAGTGGCTAAAGAAAAGTGGGGCTGTAACATGTGTGAATTGCATCTCTGTTATGATTCTCTGGCATTTGGCAGTTGGTGACACAGAAATAACACATTATTATTTTGTTAACTTCCCTGGGCATCCTGCGCCACGGCCTCACCATCCTCACAGGAACAAATTCCTTCCCAATTTGCCCTCTGAAAACCAGGCTGTTGAGTGCCCTGCTGATGGAGAAAATTCTCACTTTTCCCTCCACTCCAGCATTCCTGTGAATTAAAAATGTATATACATAAATTGCAGTTATACAGAGCCATCTATTATTACCTTTCTTTCCCCTACTGAGCTTTTCAAAAGGCAGCATTGCAGAATTAAACCCAACTGGGCAAATGTGAGCAACTCCAGGTTCCTACCCCCAGTCAAAACACCGTTTTTTTAGAAAAGCTGTATAATTTTTTTGCCAAGTATTCATTTTGAGATGAGTAATGAGGTTAAGTATATTCAGATGCAAATTTTATCCAAACTTGCTTTAATATGTTTGATCAGTTAAAAATATGCAAGTTGTCTTTTACATTTTCCTTTAGAATTTAATGAACTCAGTATATAAATGGACTGTATAAAATCTCTCTTCATTTTCTTTATTGGCAAAGAAGAAACAAATGCTTACAAATACAATAAACTTAATTTTAAAGTTACAAAAAGTTTAAAGTTTATAATGGTGGAAATCTAATCTATTAATGTGAGTCTTCTTATAAGAGTTAGCATTTTTGGATATTCCTCCTTAAATTGTCATTGGTTTCTCTGCTACTCTTGTTTGCTCACCTGAGTGCCTTTGAATAAATGTTTATCTATAAAAAGCCCAATTATTTATTGACATCCATTCCATCATTAGCTGTGGAAGGTAGAGGAGACATCTTGGATTTGGTAATAATTCCTCTTAATATATTTTCAATGGCCACCAATGTTAGAGATCCTTGAAACCATGTTTTGAGGTGATTTTAGTGTGACTTAAAAGAATACCTAAGGGGGAACGTGGGCTTAATGATCATAGGATGGAACTGGAGGTGAGAAAAAAGATATTGATGAAGTATTGATTATGACACAGCGTGAGGAGTGTGAAATTCCTGGTGTACTGAGAAGTGCTAACAGTGTTGGTGTCACCCCTTCTGTGGCCCCAGTTCTGTACTGGGAGCACTGGTTTTAGATCTGGGG